ACCCTCGGCGGGAGCGCCGCCACACTCCCAAGCGGCTCACTGTAGCAGTGCGCCACCGGGCCAGCCCCTAGATTTATTTTTTTTAAAAAAAGGAAAAAAGCGCAGTAGAGGCAAGACTATTATTCAAATTGCCACTGCAGCAAAAGCTTCTAAAGAATTGCCTTTAGAAGGAAGTTGCAGCCGCCACTGTGCTAAGTGCCCTGCTTGGAAGGGCTGTGGGCTCCCTGCAGAGAAATACTGCAAGCAGCTTTGTCAGCCGGCTGCCTGGTGCCAGTTCTGGTCCAGCCTAGGAGGCACATTGTGGCAGAGCTCCAGGAGAGGAACGAGGCTTGCAGGCTGTTTGGGTTGGACTGGACATAATGGAGGGTCACTTTTACCAGAACTTAGGTGTTCTGTGCATCTTCAATTAAGCTGTCTCTGTAGGCTAATTTTCAAGTGTTTCAGCTTTATAGATTCACTTAAACATTGCTTTCAGATTATATACACTTTTTAGGTATTTTTTTTTGTAGGCTACATTAACTTTATTTTGATGTCATTGAATATGCTTTCTTTTGTTTAAGAGTAAAGATTGATAAGAATTGTTTGTAATAAATGTAGCATTATAGGTTTCTATAATCACTGAGACTTGAGTGTTGCACCCCTACAACTATGAGTGCAAGGCATGGCATTGCTTGTTACATATCAGGAACTACCTTTGTTGAATGTCTACAATGTGCTAGGTCCCAAACTTATGTTTATTGCATTACTTAATTTTTATATTACCTTTGTAAATATAACTAGACCCATTTGGGAGGATAATCAAATTGAGGCTCAGAGAAGTTGAGCAATTTTTCGCCCCCAAGTCATATATCTAATAACAAGTGCAGAGCTGAGATCTGAACCTAGGTCAGTCTAACTCCCAACCCCCTCCTCCTCCTTTTTCTTCCACAGTATCTTCATAGCCTCCCATAGAGAAAACCAATTTTTTTGTAAATATACAAATTGAATTGAGAGTAAAAGATTTTGTTATCAATACAGAGTAGAAAAGGTTTCCGAAAGATTTTTCTCCCTGGAATGGAGATTTAAACTGTGGGCCTGCATTGCTGGGCTAAGTGTGATTATAAGTTAGTTTTTATAGGTTATGTCAATATTTAAGAAACCTTTCCCAGGTTCTCATATTTCCCTAGGATTTGCCACATGTTAGCAGTAAAGAAGATGGCTAATTGTGTTTCTTTATTCTTTCTTTGTTTAGGATGTGATAGGCCAGGTTCTGCCTGAAGCAACAACTACAGCATTTGAATGTAAGTCTGGCTTGTATACTTTCTTGACTATTTCTTTCTGCAGTAATTTTTCAAAAGGTTTATGGGTTGCATTACTTTGGAAACTGACAAACAGATTATTTATGATCATCATATGGTACATTTAAATATTTATAAATTAATGCAAGTTTAATGATGATACTGAACCAAGTAATATTTTCTTATTTAATCATATCTTGGGTGTGCTTATTTCTATAATATAGCTTTAATTACCAACATGACCTTTATCTGCTCTTGCTCCTCACTGTAATAATATTGCGGGACAAAATGAAACGTGTAAACTACCTGTAGGCCAATGATTATTGATTAAGAGATATTAATCCACAGTTGCTTTGAAACATAGCCACAGAGTAGAGCTTTTACATGAGCATTGCATGGAGTAATTCTGTTTTAGTGGGGCTTAGCAGAACTGCTAGATGATGAGAGGAACACTTCTAGTCTTGAGTCTGTTCCCTCTCCCTCACCAGTTGGCTTGGGCACAGGGCTGGGGTGTACTAGAAAATTGGTTTTGACATGAACCAGGTTATTACAGGGGAGGTCATGGTCAGAGTAATGTTAAGATGAGAGTTTAGTCAGTATCATAGGGGATCAAGTGCTGAGAAGGACAAGGGGTTTGGCACTGTGGTTCCCATCTTTTTTTGAAAATGAGGGCCACTTTTCATTGTAGAAAAATTTGTGGTTTATATGTTCTGTTTACTATATACTTAAGAAACAGAAACTTCTTGTTTTCAATAAGTATACTTTTTGTTTCTATTTCTTAAAAAGATCCTTACTGACAGAGTACAATGGGCACATCCTCTTTGGAGGACAATTTGGCAGTACTTACTATCAACATGTAAAATGTGCAAAACCTTTGATTTAGCAGATCTACTTTTAGGAAGCTATACAGCAGAAGGAGCTACACGTGTTGAATGCCCTTGAAACAAGGTGTTTATTGTGGGATTATTTTTAATAGCCAAAAATTAGAGGTAAACCAAATGTCTAATATAATGGATTACTAAATTATAATTTATTTGTAATCTGAAGCATTAAGCAGCAGCTAAAAAGAAAGAGTTAGGATTTTATGCATTGACATGGAAAGCTATCTATGATATATTGTTGAATAAACAAATAATATGTGTGGTATGATCCCACTTTGTAAAAGGTCCAAACATGCCCCTTCCCCCTTTATGTATATATTGAGAGATAGGATCTGAAGAGTGCCTGCTGCAGTGCTTTCTAGTGGTTTCCCCTGGAAAGTGGACTTGGGGCCTGGGGACCAAACATGCCCCTTCCCCCTTTATGTATATATTGAGAGATAGGATCTGAAGAGTGCCTGCTACAGTGCTTTCTAGTGGTTTCCCCTGGAAAGTGGACTTGGGGCCTGGGGGTTAGGGGTGGTGGTAGACAAATGAGCACACTTTTTACTTTATATATTTCTCTATTGTTTGAATATTTTTCAATAATCATTACTTTTTAAAAAAATCTATGAGTAGGACTGTTAATTAGTATTTTATTAATCACACTGGACTCCATATACTATTAAAATATAGTACATATATCTGAAATGCATATTAGTGTTGCAAGCTCTTTTCAGACTCCATTCAGTAACTGCTTGGGGGTGCCAGGGGTTTCTTGGACAGTCCGATAGTTAACATTTGGAGTACAGGTTGAGTATTCCTTATCTGAAATGCTTGGGACAAGAAATGTTTCAGATTTGGGATTTTTCCAGATTTTGGAATATTTGCATATATACAATGAGATATCTTGGGGATGGGAACAAGTCTAAACATGACATTTATTTATGGCTCATATATACCTTACCTTATACACATCACCTGAAGGTAATTTTATACAATATTTTTAATAATTTTGTGCATGAAACACATGACCTGTCACGTGATATTAGATATGGAATTTTCCACTTGTGGCATTATGTCAACTCTCAAAATATTTTCAGATTTTGGAGCATTTTGTAGTTTTGAATTAGGAATGCCCAACCAGTACTTAGAGTTGTCAGATGCTGTGCTGAGAACATTCCATGGCTTATCTCATCATTTTTAGCGTTACAAGATTCTCATAAAGTACTTGAAGGACTGTTATGGTTGAGGAAAGGACATCTCTCTTTTAAGCAACTTGCTCAAACTCTCACAGCTAATAATTGGCAAAGTGGAATTTCTGAAGTAGATTCCAGAGCATGTATTCTTAACCATTGTGTTGGTCTTATTCTGAGAGTTGTCATAATTTTTGAAGTCATATATTCTGGTTGTTCTTAAGCATGGCAAAAAGAAGCTGACTTTGTACTTTCTACTGCATGCTTTCCGGATTCCTAGAGTGGCTTGACGTAGCTGTGCCTGTCCTGCTAGCTTCCAGAGTTATGGTTCATAATAATAAATACTGATTATTTTAACTATCATTTATTGATGGCTTGCTCTGTGCCAATCAGTGTACCAGATGATTTGCCTAGATTGTTACTAATCTTTACCGTAATTCTGTGAGGCAGGAAAATTACACCTGTGAGGAAACTGAAGCTCGGAAACAGGAAATGATTGCCATAGGTGATCACTAGGGAAGTGGTGGAACTCAGTTATGGTTCATAATAATAAATACTGATTATTTTAACTATCATTTATTGATGGCTTGCTCTATGCCAATCAGTGTACCAGATGATTTGCCTAGATTGTTGCTAATCTTTACCGTAATTCTGTGAGGCAGGAAAATTACGCCTGTGAGGAAACTGAAGCTCGGAAACAGGAAATGATTGCCATAGGTGATCACTAGGGAAGTGGTGGAACTCAGATTCAAACGCACATCGTTTTGACTGTAAAATGTGCACTCTTTGTTACCAAGTGTGTCGAGAGCTTAAGTACAGAAAAAAACGTTTACACCTCTATGTTTAAGTTCCTCGACATCATGCTCTTCCTTTTCCCCCAACAAGGAAGGGCAGCAGCTCTACACCCATCTGTATCTGGACCAGTTTTAGATGAGAAACAAAAACAACAACAACACAGACAAAGTAATGATTGTTGTACGTTTTTTGTGCGTGGATTATCATATACTTTCTGTTATAACCTTGAAATCCTAGGGTGGCTTTTTTTGTGATTGTTCTGGGCTGACTTTATTTTCTGAACCAATAATAAGTAGAATCTATGTATAAGAAATAATTAAGAGGATATAGTTTGTAAGCTAATTTACTGAAATTGTTGGGATATTTCAGTGGTTTATGGGTATGATGGAACAGCCCTCTAATAAATAAAACTTTAATCAAAGAACTATTTTTGATAATACATTTAATACTGAAAAGTGTATCTAACACTAATTGATTTTTTTATACAAAGGAGGTGGTGTTACATTTAGTCATATGAATTAAGCAGCAAGAGAAAGGGCATCTGTCAAATTTGCCTGTTTTACATAAATATAGAGAAAAAGTTGAGTGAGTGGAAAAGAGGAGAAAGGTCAGGTAATGTCACAGATTCTTCAGTTCTGAGAAATGCCATCTCTTCAGTGACACCTCTGAGGATTCCAGATGGGTTAATCTCTCTGTGCGCCTTCACTAGAACAGGGAACTGATCCTCCGCCTTCTGGTCGATTGTATGTGTTTCCCCCTCACTGGATTTTGAGTTATTTGGTGATAGGCACCATGTTTTATCTCTTGCTTGCTTCTTTGTACTGAGCTTAGTGCCTTAGAGCAACACACTTGTTGAATAAAATGGAACGTTATGTGTGTCCATATTTGAATGAAAATTATAACATGCACGTGATCTAAAGCTAAATGAGTAATTTGCTTTTTGGATTTATTTATGCTATTGCTTAAGCATGGCATGTGATTGGTTGGTCGTGGACAAGTCAGACCTCAAATCCAAATTCCCAGACTTGATTGCTGTGAAGGGGCAGAGGTTCTGCAGTGGCTATGTTCTTTCTGATTTCTGTTCCTGGGGATGGTGTTTCCTGGGGAGTTAGGGCTAGATGAGGGAAGGGAGACCTATCTGTGTCGAACTCACTTCTTTTTCTTCTTACCCCTTTTAGGTCATTTCTGCCTTACAACTAGAGCACAAATGAAAGTATGTTTTTTTTGTTTGTTTTTTTTTGGCGGCTGGCTGGTATGGGGATCTGAATCCTTGACTGTGGTGTTTAACATCATGCTCTAATCATGTGACCTAATCAGCCAGCCCTTAAAGTACTTTTTAATAGCTGGTATTTGAGTTTTTTTTTTTAAGAAGATACAGATAATCTTTAAAGATATTCAAGCAGCATAGAAATAAAGCAAAAAGTGAACGTCTCCATTTGCCCAAGTTCTCTGGTTTCATTGTTAACAATTTCTTCTGTGTCTTTACAGAAATTTTCTCTGTTCATAATATATACTATACTACTACTAGTTTCCCCTGCCCCGACTTAATAGTATATATTTGACCTCTTTCCAACAGCAGCTTGCACAGATCAACTTCATTCTTTTGGAAGACTACATTATATTTAATTTTATGGCTATGGCTTAATTTATTTAATCTACTGATGGACATTTAGGTTGTTACCAGTTTTTCAGTGCTGTATTAGAAAGTATGCTGAAGTCAACAGCATTGTTTTATGTCTTTCCGCACCATGGGAATATATTTCTAGGATAAATTCCTAGGAGTTGGGACTACTGAGACAAAAAGTACCCATATTTTAAATTTCAATAAGTATTACCATTTTGCTCTCCAAGGCAGAACCAATTTACACTCTCACCATTGCTTTACGAGAAGGCCTATTTCCCTCTACCCTTACCATTTCTTGGCATCAGCAAACTTTTTAGTCAATGCCGATTTGAGAGGTGAAAAAGATTATTATATCACTGTTTTAATATATATTTCTTTAATTATAGTTGAACATATTTTCATTTGTACTTGGTCATATGTATTGAATTTCTATGAACTATTTGTTGTTACCTTTGCCCATTTTTTTCTATTAGGTTGTCTTTTTCCAATTGGCTTAAGAACTTTCGTATATTAAGAAAATTAGCCCTTTGT